CCTAAATGTGCCACTTTGAGGATTTCATGTGTCATGGCCTAGTGGTAACCCTCATGAGGAAGTCTGACAGGCCCTGGTGAGATCAGGATCTTCTGGAGGAAAAGGTGGACTTTGTCAGAGCCCCTGGGAGATTTTAAGGTTGAGTACAGAAGTCCTGTGAGAGTTTGGGGTAAACAGCCATCTGAGTGGGCCTGAAAGGCTCTTGCACAACACTGAAATTAGAACAACCGCGTTGGTTTTGGGAACATGTGGAAAGGCACAGACGGGTCACTAGGGAGAATGTGGGAGGCAGATGGGGAGAGGTCTGAGGTGCATCCATGCTCCCGGCTCCAAGTAAGATCCAACCCTCTGAATGACAGAGGAGACTTCTAGAGCCCTGATATTTGCCGACGGAGTAATGATATGGGACCCGGGGGTTCTGAGGACAGGGATCATGAGAGATGTAACAAGTGTAGAGGGATTTTGTAGTTGTTTGCTGCTAATCCATACAGTATCTTTGTAAGCAACAGAAAAAAAAAAAGGTGACCCTTCCTTCAAGTGGACATATCTCTGCTTTAGGATATATAAATCATGGAGTACAGGCTAGATTTCGGCTCCTATTTGCTCCTGTGGCCAGAGCCCTTTTTCACTCCAAAGTCTACCCAACTGTATATGGAAGTCATGGATGGCTTGAGCACTAAAACAACTGCAGATGAGCACAATACTACTTACGGGAAAGATGGTAACAACTGTATTTGTAGATAAGAAAGAGGAATGTAAACTAATAAGAGCTACAGAAGAAATGAGAGACTTGGTATCTCCAACTTCTAAAATCATCTAGCAATAGCACTAACATTCAGGCCATCTCCTATCTCTCATTCCCTAAAGAAATGGTTGCAGGCTTGCACAACTGTTCTATTCTGCTAATTATTCTCTCCATGCATCAGTTTCTTTATCTGTAAATGGGGATTGGAATAGTGCTTACCTTGTGAAATTTTGGAGAAGATTAAAAGTGTTAATACATGTGAAGCTTAGAACTGGTTCTGGTATTTAAGATTTACTCAGTAAATGTTAGCTGGTTATATAATTTACATCATTCATGTGCTAATGAGAATTTTAAAGCTAAATGAAGCTGTAGAGTCCATCTAGGAAACATGCAGAAAATTATTTTCAAGCTGGGCCTTGGAAAATACATAAGATTCCAATAGACAGAGAAAATAAGGGGAAGACATTGAGAATAAAGGTGGAAAGGTACAAGCATCATTCAAGAATGGTGAGCAGACCTATTTGGCAGAGGATGAATGGAATGTGTACAACGGTGGAAAATGAACCTGAAAACCAAATTGTGGGCAGACAGTAAGGAGTACAGAATTCATTTTCTCTCTTTGATCAGCAGTGTAAGCCAAGAAAAATTTTACTTGCAACCCCCTGCAATCTGGCTTTAACTTTCCTGCGTTGTAGGACCTTTTTGCTCAAAGGTCTTCTAATGGGCTGGTGGAGTGGTTCAAGCAGTAGAGTAAAATGTAAGTTTTAAACTTATACTTTTAAGTTTTAGAAATACTGTGTTAGAAGACCTTGAGGAATATATAAATAAATATACATTTTTTTGACGGTACTAGGGTTTGAGCTCAGTGCCTCAAGATTGCTAGGCAGATGCTCTACTACTTCAAAGTATAAACCAATGATCTGTGGTCTTCCTAAAATACAGGTTCTGATGTGGTAGGTCTGGAGTGAGACACGAGAGCCTACAATTTTAACAAACTTCAAGGTGTCACCATACTTCTTGCAGCTCATCCATGGACTGCACTTTGAGAAGCAAGAGTTACCTCTTCTTATCTTCATCCTTACCCCTTCTACAGTGTTGAGCCTTGCTGATTTTCCTAAAGCTCTCATCATTGGCTTCTACGACTCTCTCACCTGAATTTTATGCTATTACTAGAAGCTAAGAACAGAGACTAAAATAATTTCACTGAAAGCAATGGACTCTAAGGAGATGCACTAAGTAAAACAAAGTAATTGTTGAAGATGTGGTGGGGTGTATTTTTCCAAGATACCAGGGAGTAGGGTGGGCCTCTGAAGTCTGGAAATTAGAGAAAATAAGTCAGTATCCTGCTAGAATAAGCTCTAGGAGGCATTCTGGGTGGGCCTTGCAGACTTAGAGAAATATGAGTAAGATTCTGGGAGATAGGAGGAGTGCCTTAGAGTTGCTGCTGTGGAAGGGAATTCAGTATGAACAGGAATTAGAGGTGTACTTACAAGGAAGCTTCACAGGCCTTGGTAGCCAAAGGGACTTTATCAGAAACTCTGGGAGGTTCTGAGGTTTGGGTGCAAAAGTCCTAATGAGAGTTTGGGGAAAATGACCATTTGAGGGGCACTGGAATGCTGCTCTATAAAAGTCCAGTGCATGTCGACTTGTCCTGAGCACATCCTTTATCATATAAGACAAATTGCGATTGGTATTAAGATCTGCATTTAATAACCATAGCTACAAAGTCAAGACTAGGCTTTAGATATGCATTGTCCAAGCAACTATCAGGCACTAATAACTTTTGTCTTTTAAATGCAAACACTACAAACTATCTTGTAATAAAAGACAGACACATTGTTGCTCTTTCATGATGTACCTAGTTTTTCTAGATCTCCCGAGATCCCCCTCCACCTGTCACACCCATCTACATGGAGGTTGTCTATAATTGACTGGTGTAGAGGTAGGGCCGCTGAAAGATTTACTGGGTTGAATCTTTCCCTAGGATTTTGGACTAAAATTGAAAAAAGCAAGTCAGTCTCTCACAGTTTCCAAGGAAAGCTAGTCAAGAACATGTATACTCAGAAGCTGTTGGTGACTAGGTTCTGCCACATGGATTTAAGAACTGAAAATAGCAGTTAACTGTGAAAAACAAGACTGATCAGAACACCAGTAAAACACAGGGAAATAGCTCTATTTGGGAGGTTTGACACACTGACAATCTTGTACATCTCTATAAGCCAGCTAGGCAAGGCTCAACAATGGTCTACCTAAGGCATGACAGAATGCCCTGTGATTTCTGTTAGTGAAAAGGAAGATAAGCCACCTGGTGAGCTGCTAAGAGGCTGTTTTTTTTCTCCCTGTCCAATGGAAGGATGCTACAAATCCATTTGTTATCCATCTCCTTAGTTTCAATTGAACACAAGACTTTCGACCTCAGCCCCTTCCCCAGGTTACAACTGCAAACTTCAACATAAATCTATAAAACTGCTTGGCTGGGGTTTACAGGTAGTTCCTCAGCAACAGAGGTGCTGGTCCCACAGAGTTTATCATTGTGCCTCTTCAGTTCAGTGTTGCATTAGTTACTAGAAACACAGGGAAATGACAGCATGATGACTTATTTTTGCTGTCTGTGTATGTAACAAACTGTCTGAATGCATTTGGGCATGTTTACCCATTACCAGACTAATCAGTGGAAGTATGGCAAGTCATCCCAACAGTTGCAGAATACTTGTGGTCCTATTGTTAGTCACTACCATGCTGCCTTGGGGATGTTTGACCACTTGACAAAGAAAATAAGTAAGATGGAGAGTTCACTTCCAGAGTTCTCCCCAGTGCTCCAGCCCAATTCCAGTTGGTTCCAGGAATGTGACCAGACCTTGAATTCCATGAGACATTCTGGTATTTCTAGAATAAACTTCCCTAGTTTTTTTATTTTTTTCTCTTAAGAGAACAGTCCCTTAGAAGGTATTTTTGACCTTTACAATCAGAAGATCATATAATACACACAGAGAAATGATAGTATCAGTAATCAAAACTGTAGTGCAAGAGATTAAATGCATCTTCTTTTTATTAAAATTCTACCTCTCTTGTATATTTATTTCTTTCTGGTCCTCAGACTAGTATATGTAATAGTATTATACCACTTTATTACTGTTGCTGAAATATAAAGGTTTATGGAAATGCTTTCAGCCAAGTAGATGAAAATGTGACTCTTTTCAACATGATGAAAGTATACTCTCATCATTTTTCAATAACTTCATAGTACAAACTATGTAAATCAAGTACTTCAAATTTATCTTATAAATGTCATAATTTTCATTCATATTAATTAATTCAATTAATTTCTATTTATATTAATAAGACTATATGATGGAATCATATATTATATCTAAGCCAAATACTTATCCAACAAAACGATGTAAGGATTAGAGTCTGATCCACTTTTAACATAGTTTGAGTTTGGCTGTGCCTAATACAGATTATGATCATCTAAACGAATACGCAGATGCTAATGAGCCATTGGACACAGCAAAGGATGTTAATCAAGTTGTTTTCCTTTCCGCTGGGCCACAAGAGTTTTCTTTGATCAGTGACATAGACTGAGAATCAAGTGTGTCAGGTATGGCTAGGAGAGCCTTGGACTTGTGGAATTCCACCAAACATTGTAAATAAATGGGTGCAGTTAATTCCCACTACTGGGAAACAAAAAAAAAAAAGTTGGCAGTGGGGTTGCTGACATTATAATAATGGATGGTCATTGCCTAATTATGTGTACGAAATGAATGTCTCAATTGTCATATTAATGAAACATCATCTTTAGGAATGTGTACAGATGGTAAGTTTAGTGACACATCTGGCTGCTTGTAGTACCCCTGAGATGCAAGTAGTTGGTGACAACTAGTAATAATTTGTAGTAATCCCTTATAAAAAATCAAAATTTGTTCGAAAATAAGTTTCTTTAGTCAAAGTTAAACATTGGACGTCTTGTAGTCATTGTCTTATATGATTTATTAGTGTTACCATAATATAATTTATTAAAAGAATAACTATGTTAATAAAATAATTTATAAGCTAACTATGCTAAATTATATACTTATAATAAAAATGCATCACAGTAAAATTAAAATTTCAACCAACTTATATTTTAAAATGTCTTTCAAATCCACTCACATTACATAATTTAATGGCCAGTAACTTTTTCCAGCCACACTTAACTATTTCCAAGACTGGTTATAATGAATTTCTCCCTAAAGGTTTTTTTTTTTTACCCGACAGCATAACTCTCCATAAATTAATGTGAGCCCATTATATCAAAGGTGTTTATATGTATTAACATATGCATTTAATTTTAATATGTCTACTTATGGCACAATGTACCCCTTGTGGGGTACAGACACAGTACTTCCAAGACCGAGGCAGAATCTGGGTAAGATCCACGCTAGCTTGGAAGCGTCTATAAAACTGATAGCAAACCTAAGACAGAACTGGATCACTTTCAAGTGTAACATTCCAGCAAGTAAAAAAGATTCCTCGAAGTGGCAAGTCTCGGTGCACCGCCCATGCTTTTTGGGCTAGGAACAGAGAAGGTCAGGAACCCGAGAGCGGCCGGCGCGAGCGCCGCGGCGACTTTACCAGGGGCACCAGGCCGCCGCCGGCCCCAGCTCTCCTTCGCTCTTGCGCTGCCGGGGCCGAGGCGCTGCCCCGAGAGCGAGCGGGTTTGAGAAGGGGCGGAACTTGGGTTGGGGGTCCGCCTGAGAGACGTTTTCGGGGCCCTCCGGCGGAGCGAGCGACCTTACCAGCGGAACCTCCGGCCACGACCTGCTGAGAAGCCTCGCGCAGTAAGCCTCGGTCGGCCTTGGACATGGTGGGCAGCCGCAGCCGAGGGAGTGGGCAAGAGCGAGCGAGCGAGCCGCCGGACGCGCCCGCGCAGCGTCGGGTGGGGACAGCGCCTGGCCGGGCTCGGGCCGGGTGGCTTCTGGGCCGCACGTCCGCGACTGGCCCGAGTGGCGGTTCGGCACTGGCGCGCCGCGAGGCGACCGCTTCGGGTGGTGTCGCCCGTGGGCTCCGGGCTCGGAGGCGCTGTGCTGGGTCTCCTAGATTGGCGCCCTATCTAGAGCCTCCTGAAGGTCGTCAAGCTGGACGAGCCGCCTTTGATAAGGCGGGGGGAGCGGCCAAGCGTGGCCGGGCGACCCTTGGCCTCCTGGCAGGCTGCACTCACTGCACTTCCAAAGACAGGACGAGGAAGGAATACCTGCCTTGGAGCTGGGTATCCTGAGACTGGACTCTGTGCCACCGAGTCAGAGCTGCAGATCCTATTTACAGTTCACTCACCATTGAGCTAAAAAAAAAAAAGAAAAGAAAATGATAGATGACTGTTTACGAATAAGTCTTCTATGCCCTGAAACCCAGCACAATTTGTGAATTTATTAGAAAGTCAAATTCATGGATCCCACCCTGACTTACTAAATGAGAATCTTTGGGGTGGCACCTAGGAACCTGTATTTTTAACCAGTTCTGTTACTTATTATGGGCATTAAAGTTTGTGAGCGACACATAAATAGTAGAGGAATATTAACAACCTTTTAGTGTTTTCTCCCTATTAAATGTTTAGTTTCTCATGCAACCTGAGGATAGTTAGCAAAACAAAAATAGTAACATACCTGTTTTTAAACCACAAATTGCACATTGCTATGTAGGAGAGACAAGATTGTGAAATTTTACAGAAATACCTGCCACATAAGATTATGAATTTTGACCCACCACACCCTTAACAGGCCAGAGATGATAAAGAGTAAAAAGGGAGCATGGGGAGGTTTTGGATCCCTATTCTCATTATTTCTAAGGCATGGTATTTAATACTAAATATATTTTGTGCTGTATAAATTGCAACTGTTGAAATTCAAAAACTTGGATATGAGAAATTTAACATAGTATGTATTTCCAGTTTAATGTACAAATAAAATAATTTGGTTTTGTATTTATATTTCTTTGGCTAAGCCATTAAAAGTTGGTGATACATGACTGGCAAATTATTTGAAGTGGTTTGAGGAATTAGGGGCACTTGCTCATGTGATAAGATATGCAGAAGCAAAGTGTCATATTTGTTAAACTTGATAAGTTTGAAAATATTTTTTGTATATGATAGAATTTTTAACTCTAAAGAAATGGTCATGAACTATTAAATCCCAAGGCACATACTCAACCAAATTCTACACACATTAATTGAGAACTTACTAAGGTGTTAGTAATATTAACAATAAATACCCCTCACTCATAGACTATGTAATCTAATGGAGGAGATATACCATCCAGAAATGTAAGTAAATATTTGTCTTTTCTAGATTACTTCAGGAAATGCAATAGTATTTTCAAGTCAAGATTTAGAGGTACCTTATTGATGTCATTATTTCCATGAATATTTTCACCTTTGAAGATCTTATCCTTCAAAGATAAGGGCAGGTTTGTAATCTCATTGACTTAGGGGAAAAAAAATAAAAAACAACTTCCTCTTTTTAACCTCTCTGGAATAGAACAAATTTCTTTGAGTAAAAGAAGCAAGGCCTAATGTCACATGTAATCCAGCCCTATAATTTTAGGATATTTGAGGAGATAAGGCAGCATAACAACATTCTAGAGTTTGGGAAACTGCAAGGGCCAGTGCAGTCAACAAGTACCATTGTGCTAAGAGGTCTGATTATTGGATCTTTTATCTGCAGCTGAATTTGCCCACGGTGGGTACAGTGACAGGCTGCTGTCATCCCAAACTACCTGGAGGCTGACATTGGGAGGATCATGTTTCCAGACTGCCCAGGGTAAAAAAGTAGTCAGTAACCCCATCTCAGTGGGAAAAAATTGGGTGTGGTGGTGCCTGTTATCCCAGTGATGGCAGGAAGCAATCCAGGCCAGAGGATTGCAGTCCAGCCCAGCCTGGGCAAAAAGGGAGACCCCTGTCTCCAAAAATAACCAGAAAAAGCTGGAGGTGTTGCTTAAGCAGTAGAGTGCCCGCCTAGCAAGTGCAAAGCCTTAAGTTCAAATCCTCATCCTGCCAAAAAGAAAAAGAATTACATAATTAAATTATTGATTTATCTATCAGTTAGCAAAGTGATTGAAAACTAAACTTTCAGGAACCTTAAAATGCCACCTGAACTTAAATATCTGACAATTTTTTCAATGTATTTGTGGAATAAAATTTTTATATTGTATCAGCTACTATACAAGTCCAAGATAATAATGACTTAAACAAGATGGAAATTTATTTCCCCGTTGTAAAATAACCCAATGGTAAACCACAAATAAAGCTCCAGTCCAAAGAAGAAGAAAAGATAAAGCCCTGGAAATTACCCAAACCTCATTGGCCAGAACATGGCCATAAGAACTACACCTAGGAATAAGGGAAGTTGGAAAATATATTTTACTGGGTAGAAATGTGTTGGGGGCAGGTGGGAGGTTATGGAAGAAGGGGCAATTGTTATGGAAACAACCAGCAGTGTCTGCCATGGTTAGAAAAGTTGAAAAATGAAAACTGTACTTAAAATGACAGTATTTGCCCATTCTGAAATACTTTGCTTTCCTTAAGTGTAAAGTTTATCTTAGTGTCTAACTACAAACTGTAGTATAATATCATGGTATTCACTGTATTATGACTAGAATCGTATTTTTAAAATACCTTTCTTGGAAAGATAGATAACAATTATAGCTTGAGTCTTTTTCATTTATTTATTTTTAGGTATCAAAATTCTCTGTAAACAAATACAGAATTTGGTAAAAATGGAGCCTGTCCCTGGAATACAGTGAGAAATTGGGGACAAACTACTGAACTCTTAACCAGTGGAAAATATTAAACTTTTGAATTATTCAAAAGACCTGTTCTTCTATGATATTCTTATGAACAAGTATTGAAAAGAGTATGTGCTTAAAATTTGTAGGTCTTGAGTATCACTGCTCAAATCTTATAATTTACAATAGCAAGATATCATGTTTGTATAAGAGAGATTTTAGGATCTATGTATTAGATAATCTCATCACTTAACAGCATTTCTAAATTCCAAGGGACTCTACTAGATTGTGTAAATGAAGTTGTTAATGTATTAGTCAGCTCTCTGTTACCCTAACAAAAGAGATACTATAATCAACTTTAAACGAAAAGGCTTATTTTAGCTCATAGTTTTGGAGGTTCAGTCCATGATTGGCTCTATTGCTTTGGGGCCTGTGGTGAGGCAGCACATCATGGCAGAACAAAGCTGTTTGCCTCAAGGTTTTCATGATTCACCTTAAGGAAGCAAAAAAGTGAGTGGAAGAGACACAGATCCTACAATTCCCTTCCAAGGCATATTCCCAACAACCTGAAAACTTCCAATTGGCCACACCTCCCGATATCACCAAGCTGGGACCATGTACCTTTGGGGGATATTCCAGATCCAAAGTAGCAATAAATGAGGAAACTAATACTTTATGTGAGTATCTAGAAACAGTACGTAGAGGTCATTGATGTGACAGTTATGGGACATAGTTATTTGGGACATAAATGGGAGTCTAGGAATTCAGAAGACCTCTAAGGCAGTAAACATGCAGAAATCCTTGCACTTTTGTCTTAAGTGTGGATCCCCAGGCCTTCACTCAGAACTAATCTATACCCAATCTTTAAAGTTTGTCAGATGGATATTAATTTTGTTAGTCCACATCAGATCAGAATGAACCTGAAAAGGTCTAGTAAAGAGCAATCAGCAAATTTCAGGTCATATTCAGCCTGCCCAGCAAATTGTAATATACTCATTAAATGTTTACCTTATGCCAGGCATTGAGCTAAGCAATTTATAACCCATTATTTCATTCATAATTTCCCCATGACAGAGTCTCATTGAAAGGAATTGGCATAGGTGTTAAGCAACTTGCCCAAAAGCACAATGAGGTGTTATTTGAATATATGTATACATAACATGAAACCTGTTTCTGCATCTCTGACTATGTGTGTTTTTGGTTTGGTTTGGTTTGGAGACAGGGTCTCTCCCTATACCCCAGGCTGGTCTCAAACTCGCAATCCTCCTCTGCCTCAGCCTCCCCAGTACCTGGATTACAGACATGTACCACCATGCCTGGGACTTAACTACGTTGTTTTTATAATCTATTTTCAATTTTAGCTTTTCTACACCTAAAAAAATAATTAAGATTCAAAATTATTCACAGTAAATAGCCTGTAGCTTCCTTGGCTTTGATAATCAAAAAACTAGTGATCAAACTAGGTGGACAAGGAACCCTATATATAGGCTTTAAAGTCAGGAAATACTAATTTCAGTGCCTTAAAATGTGTATATGTAAATGTGTGAATTTTTTGTTTTTTAAGTCAGGGTTTCTCAACAACAGCACTGTTGAGGTTGGCGGTCCTCTGCATTGTTACCTATTTACCATCACCTTTGGCCTTTGTTCAGTAGATGCCAAGTGCAATTCCCTCCCCAGTGCAACAACGAAAAATGTCTCCAGGAATTGCCAAGTGTGTCCCAAAGTGCAAAATCGCCCTAGATTGAAAACCCCTGATTTAAGTAAAAGAACCAATATAATAATAAAGTCTACTTAACTTTGTGGAATCATAGAATGACAAACCTGGAAGAGACTTTAATAAATTCCTTATTTGACAGTTGGAGAGAATGAAGTATGAAGAGATTGAAGGGCTTGCTCAAGTTACCAAGTTCCTTAGGGGAAGAATTGGGTGGCATGGCCAGATATCTCCTAATTTGGCTTTGGTGATCTAGGCATGGGTGTCTGGCACATTTCCTGCAAATTGAATGAATACTGTGGCTACAGTAGCCAGAATGGTCCTTTCAAAGCATCTTTCAGATGCTATTACTCATTTGTTCTAAGCCATCTAATGGCTTCCTATAACTCTTAAAACAGAATCCAAAATCCTAACCATGAACTTACAATATCCTATATGATTTGACCCCTGGTTACTTTTCCTGACTCATCTAACACTTTTCTCTTTACCCTACTGTTGTCACACTAGGTTGCTTGACATTTTTTTGAGCACCCCTATCTTTTGTATGTTTTTCCCCATGCTAGGAATGTTTTTCCTAGACATTCCTATGATTTTGCTTCTTTACTTCCTTCAAGTCTTTGAACAAACATTAGCAAGTGGGCTTTCTTTGTCTGAAATAGCTTTCCCCAATAGGTCTAGAAGAAATTAGTTCAAGATGAAGGTGTCTGCAGTTGGTTTCTAGTAAGGCTTCTCTTCCTGGCTTACAGGAGGCCATTTTCTCATCATGTACTCCCATGCCCTTTTCTCAGTGTATGCAAAGAGAGACATAGTGGGGGTTGGGGTGGGGGGGAGACTGATGTCACTCCCTCTGCTAATAAAGACACCAAGCCTATTGAATTAGAGTCCCATCCTTATCATATTTAACCTTGTTTACCTACTTAAAGGCTCCCTTCTCAACAGTCATATTGGTGTTAGGGCTTTAATGGGGTGGGGGGGACAGTTATAAGAAGATTCATGTCTTTTATCAAATTTGGGGAGACTTGGCCATATTTTACTGAAATCTTTGCCTCTATCTATCTTTTTCTGGGACTTCTAATCACCAATATACTTGGTAATTTCCCTTAGGCTGTTTCAGGGTTTGGGGGCATGGCTCAACTGTTAGAATGCTTGTGTAGCATGTGTGAGGCCCTAGGTTTTATCCCCAGAACAACAACAACAAAAAGATATAAAGCTGTGACCTCTCATCTTCAACGATCTTACCTTTCTTCTTGACTTCCTTACGTATACCAGCTAGCAGCATCATCTCCAGAATATTGATTTTAAACATTCCAACTTTAACCATCACCTCTTATCTTAACATACAGTTTCATCATTTTCAAATACATGAGCCCCAATAGTTCTCAATACCTATATGACTCACTTTCCTCTTTAATGTAGCTATAGAATCTAAGGTCCATCATTATAACCAATCTCATAAAATTCTCTAAATTCCTTTGATTGCTTTCATTTAAAACTCCACAATTCTGTTGAAACCTAGTTATCCCCCTTGTGCCTACAGTAGGAGCTATAAGCACTGCTAGAGATAATTATATCTCATATAATTACTAAAAACTTCAAATTACCAGGCAAATCTATACATTTGCTTAATAAATTCACTTACCACTCTATGAGATTACCATTTAAAAACTTCAAATTTCTCTACACTATTACCTCCATTCATTTAACACTTGGCCTCATTCATTAAGTTTGTCCCTTTCATATTCAATCTCTAGGAAGAAATCAAATGGCATTCCCTCATCTTCTTACCTCTAAATCATCACAATCTTTCTCTGTGTGTGTCCACATTCTTGGATTTTCCTCTTCTTGTAGTAGAAAAAATAAAACTACTTACTACTATAAAATATCTATCCCATCCAGACATAAAAGATCACATACTGTATAATTCCATTTAAATGAAATATCCACATAGGTAAATCCTTCAAGACAGAAAGCAAGCCAAGTGTGGTAGTGCATGCTGCAATCCCAGTTACTAGGGAAGTGGAGGTAGGAGAATAGAGATTGAGGCCCACCCAGCAAAAATCACAATTCCCTTCCTGAAAAAAAAAAAAACCAAAACCTAAAAACAAAAGGACTGGGGGCATGACTCAGTGATAGAGTGCTTGCCTAGCAAACTGAGGGCCAGAGTTCAATCCCTCGCACCACAAAACAAACAAACAGAAAGCAGCATGGTGGTTGTCAGGAAGTGGGTGGAGGAGGAGGGTGAATTGCAGAGTAACCATTTAATGAATACAGGTTTCTCTTTAGCCTATCAACCTGAACAATAAGAGAATCTCCAAAGATGATGAGTTTACTCAGTAGTAATCAGAAAGTTTATAATCTGGGATGACCATCCCATGATGTGTCAAGAGTATATGAGGTAAGGGTAAACTTGTAGAGGCAAAAGAGAGAAGTACATGTTAGTTTGTTTTGAAACAAATAGGTCAGTAGTGGAGACAGTGTACAAGCAAGTGTCCCTTGTACATCCTGCTAACTTTCCTGTGACTCCTGCAGTTTGGAAAGTCCTTAGGAAACATTATTACAGGCTGTGTGCATAAGAGCCCTTCAGCGACTCTTTGAAATATGGTTTGTCTTAGGCATGTGTACCTGAAGGACCTCCTTCATAAACTTCTGGCTTTATTTCTCTATTTGGGTAGAGTCTGACACAAATGACTTCATTTTGATTATGACAATCTACAGAAGGATGATGAAAATGTTTTAAAACAAGGAAGAGAACATTGTGAAAGTACTAAGTGCTACTGATTTTTTTTTTGGTGGTACTGGGATTTGAACTCAGGGCCTTGTGCTTGTTAGGCAGGTGCTCTACTTCTTGAGCCATGTCCTTCAGGTCTTTTTTGTTTTATTTTTTTGGTTAGGGGGCTCCGGGGCCACCTCAGACTGAGATCTTCCTATCTACAACCTCCCTCACTACTGAGATTACAGTACATACCACCATTCCCAGCTTACTGGTTGAGATGGTGGTGTCACCGACTTTTTACCAGGACTGGCCTTGAACTCAATCCTCCCACCTCAACCTGCTGACTAGCTGAGACTGCAGGGTGGATTAATAGGCCACCTCTTCTGGCCCATTTTAAAGTAGATAATTTTTATGTTATGCAAATGTCACCTCAACAAATAATGAAAAAACCTCTCCTTCCCACAAGTTTGGTTATCAATTTCCCCTAACCATAATTGATAATATGAAAGGCAGTTTCTAGCTTTCTATTGGATGAGGCTTATCCACACACAAATATGCTCTAATATCTTAAATGACAACAACAATAAAACAAAACAATCAACCTCCCTGAAGCCCTTCTGTGTAAGCATCTGGAGAACTTTTAAAAAACACCAATGCCCAGTAATTATTCCAGACCAAGTGACTCAGAAGCTGAGAACAGAGGGCACTGGGCATCAATATTTATAAATCAACAAGGGATGAAAGTCTCTGGCTTACAGCGACTTGCCTATTGGTATTTGTTAAGAATGATATTAATTCCAAATGATAGAAAATCTAACTATAAGAGGCTAAACAATAAGGTTTTTGTTTTTAATCTCCTATACAAGAAGTTAGAGATAGGCAGTCCAAGACATTAACAGCCAACTCTTTTCCTTTCTCTTCAAGGCACCTTTCTCAGTACCGTGGTTCTTTACCTTCCATATTGATGACTGATGGTCAGGATGACTTCACGTGTTATGGCTTCACTCCAGCATCACAAATGGAAGAGCAGCAGCAAAAGCCTTCTCTTCATGAGGCTGTTTATTTTGGAAAGGCAGTCCTCCACTTGACATTCCATTATAGTGCATGTCATTAGCAGAACTAGATTATACACCACCTACAGTTCAGTCACTAGCAAAGAACACCAGCATTAAGAAGGGATAAGACCAATTTTGAGATGGGGAGCAGGGTATTTACTCTTCCTTGAGAGCTAGAGTTGTCACCAACAATAAAACTGGAGTCTTTATAAAAGGATATGATGGATAAGAATGTTGTGGAACTTAATTTGAACATTTTAATAGTCGCATTAACCATCACTTTGTTACATTCATGTCTTTATTCCCAGTCCAGTCCAGAGTACTTCCTTGCATGTGAATTATACATCTGACTGCTGGAAAGCTCCTCTTATTCACCAAGCAACTAAAACTTGTTCTATCCAAAAATTATTCACTCATTCTTCTAATATCATCAACTCCCTATTTCTGGACTACTTACTAAGTTCTGCAATTTTTATGTCTACAGTCCATCATTTTTCATCTAATTCACTTTTTTAATCATTTTCATTCTGAATTAGTTTTGCTACCTTGGGAATTTTGATTTTGAAATATATTTTCCAAGCTGATGGACTGAGTTAACCTAAAGCTCGTCTGATCACATCATTCCCACTTCAATTCCTATTGAATCTAGAATCAAGGCCAAGAAACTTAAGTGAAATGAAAAAAGTCCCGTCATAATCTCTCCAACTTTATTTCCCACTATTTTTCATCTTGTATTCTATATTGTGGCAATACTAAACTGCTTGCAGTTACTTGCAGTATCTGTATTGATTCCTCTACAAAGAATTCCATTTTCTCTGCACCTCCACTCCTATCTCTCACCTTGCTAACTCCTATCCATACTTAAAGGTTATCTCTTACAGACATCAGCTCCTCTAGATATTCCTGATTCTGACTTCATGTCCTAATTCCTCTCCCCCAAAATCATTTATCAGGCAACTGTTAGGATGGAGAATGAAGAGAACGAAGAATGAAGAAATGTACAGGTGTGGGTGGTGGTGATGGCAGTGGAGGGGAAAAGGGGCAAAATTAAGCTACTGCGGTATGAAAAGTTTAGGGAAAAAGCATTAACTAGTTACCTCAGGTAAACTGGAAACATAATTACAGCTAACATTTCAACTCATGCTATGAAAAAAAGAGAAGAAAAACAGAAAACAAAGGCATCTCTACCCTAAAGATGTTAAGAACTAACAATGGACTTTAAAAAGTGAGGAAAAATGAATCTTAACCCAGCGAAAAATACTGCTTTCTTTAAACTTACACTACTAATTTATTATTTGGTTTCAATTTTCTTAATATTGTAGTCACTATCCCCCTTTATTTCTTGTAAGACCAAAAAAAGCAACTTTCTCAACATAACTTGATTAAGGCACTCTTCCCAATTGGAGTGCCCTTCCTGATTGGTTGTGACTACTCTGACAAACTGTACACCTTCTCTTTTCATGATGAAAATTTTATATCCACACATAATTTTTTGAAACAGGGTCTAGCTATGTACCCAAAGCAATCCTCTTGTCTTAGCCTCCCAAATGCTGAGTCCAGGCTTCACCACCACTACCATACTCAGCTTGTCTCCTATATTTTCAAGGCATTTTTTACAAGCAGAAGTGTCTGATTCAACCCTGAATGATGCAAAGCAAAAAGTGCATTTCAAGGCCGAATCTAACAAACATCTTCAGAGCAGTGCCCATTCATTACCACAGAAATAACCAAAAATTTGTGAAAAACGTAACCTATTTTATTCCAACTAATGTACATGCAACTTTTCATGAAGGGGAAAAAGAAAGGAGGAAAGGAAAAAAGGGGGACAGGGAGACACACACACAGAAGCAATACTGATCGGTAGAACAAGAAAACCACATTTGAATTACAATTATCCCAGTCCTGATAAAATTCCATTTTACTCTGATCGTACAATTAAAAATACCTCTGGCTTTTCTATTTCTCTTTCATAGCTTAGTGTACGAATTGAGTTTTTCTTTTTTTAAATTCTGGAAGGCTCAACATTTTGCCTTCGATGATTCACACATCACATAAAAATCCAGCTCTCCTTCCGGTACTTAGGTCAGAGGTCACCAGCTCTAAGACTTCAGTCAGAACCCTTCTTTGGCCGGGATCCAGGGATCACCAATGGGCGACACGGAGCCGGCTCCTTTTCTCCGCGCCCTCGTCCCACGCCGCCTCTCGCCTCCAACCGCACTTGCACCTCGTTTCGAGAAGGCTCGCAACACTAAGGCTGATCATTCCTTCTCCCTCCTAAAACCACAGCTCTTCTCCCGACAACACTTCGCTCTTCCCTGACGCACGCGTGGTCCAGGTCTCCCCAACCACACTGCCCACCCCTTTCCTCTCCTAGCTCCTCCCCCGTCTCTCCAAACACTCCGGCTCGCCGGGACGCCCCGCCCCGCGACCCCCGGCGCGGCTTGCGCATGCCCGGTGAGCGCCTCCTCGGCTTCCCCCTTGGGCCCTCGCGCAAGGCGTGCGGCGGGCTCCTCCAGTCACTCTCTCGCCCCGCCCCCAGCCCCGCCCCCAGCCCCGCCCCCGCCCTCTGGGTCTTTTGGGGTGCGCGCACCAGGGCTCCGCGCGCGCAGCGATTGGCTGACGCGGTGGCGAAGCTTTGGGCCTCAGAAACTCCCGGCGAGCGCGCAGAATCGGCTCCCCGGGGCGGTGCCGGGAGCCTCTCCTCAGGTAAACGGTCGCGCGGGAGGGTTGGGTGGCGGGAGGGTACGGTAGAACGGGCACATAACCAGGCTCGGGACTTCGGGCCGCAGCCCCCTTGGAGAAGCGGAGGGGCCGTGTGGCATCTGCACCAATGAATGCAGGTCCCACGGGGCCAGGAGTGAGGGGACACTCGGAGGTCAGCGTCCTGGTGTCCTCAGGTGACCGCTCTTGCTGGGCTTGATGTCGGCATCTTCCCCTGTTAACTGTTAGAAAAGTTTAGCAGCTGCACGTTGGTTTCCCGCGATGTCCCGGCGGTGGGGAGGGAGAGGCCAGCCGTGCTTCAGCCCCTGGTCCACCGTGAGCTCGGGGGAGGCCATTCGCGTCTTCTAGTTCTGTCCTTGTAAACGAGAGCAAAAACGCACGGTCTCCAAAGAGCGCCGAGCCAGCCACGCTGCGGAAAGAAATTGTTGGAACTCTTGGCTCACAGTGTCCCGGGGCCACCGTTCTCCGGCTGGAAGAGGGACACCACCCGGCAGTACTTGTGAGAACTTCGTGCTCTGCGGGGAAAGGCATTGGATAAACAAGATAGAAGGCACTTCCCACAGGAACAGGCCTTTCGAAGGCTCCTTTGAGCGTTTTATGTAGACTGAATCCCAGGGATAGTAGACAAAAAGTATCCCCAAACAAATGGTCAAACAAACTACATTTCAAGATTTTCTTCTTCCCCAGGTAACTTTAAGTACTATCAGAAGGTAGCAGTTTTGCAGTTTCTTCTTGGGATCGTGGATGGAAGTAGCCTAAAGTGATAGTTACATAAGCATTGCAACAGTATACGAATAAAATTGAAACAAAGCTGACTTTTCTACGTGAGGTACTAGGAAGGAGAGTGGTAACCATGACAGATCAGAAAAACGAATAGGAGATGTACATAATCTCCTTCAAAGGCGTAGAGTTTACAGAAATCTTCGTGTGCTGATTTTAAAAGTGTAGTAGAAGTACAGAAACATGCCTGAATCACGTTAAAACCCATTGAATTTTCATATAGTGTTCATATCCATGTGTTTAGTACCTAGATCAACAACACCAAAAAAAACCCATTGTGGTACTTGAATCCCACAAGCCCCGCTTTGTGTCCCCTTCCCAGTGGTAACAACCTAACGTTATCCCAACGAACATTGTTAGAGTTTCTCCAACTATTGGCTTTATATTAAAAGAATAATACACTATACAGTCATTGTGTCTGGCGTTAGCTCAGTATTCGTTAGGTTTATGTGAGTTATGAAGCAGTAGGTCTTTCTTATGCTGTGGATACTACACCTGGTGTTTGGCTGTTACAAATGGGGCCACCATGAATATTTTTATAAGTATTGTAAGTGTTACTAATAGGGTTGCTGTGAACATTTTAAAGGATTTTGGTGAGTTTATGAATACATTTCTATTGGGTGTACCTATTAATGAGATAGCTGTGTTATAGGCTGTGCAGGTGTATATTTGGTATACACTAACAAAAATGTTTCAAAATGGTTGTGTTAATTTACACTCCCACTAGCAGTGTATGAGAACTGTGTGCTTCAAATGCTAATATTACTTCACATTGTTTCTTTCATTTTAGCCATTCCAGTGGGTATATAATGATATCACATTGGGGGTTTGCTTAATGGTTAGTGCTGTTGAACACCTCTGCATATTATCTATTGGCCATTTGCATATCCTCTATTTCTGTAAAGGGCCAGATGGTAAATACAGGTAGTCCACCCATACAGTTTCACTTAAGACAGTACTGTGCAAAGCTGGGTCTACCAGTTTATTTTAGGTTTCTCAGGCTGAAGAAAATAGCCTCTGTTACATATTAATTCTTCTTTTTTTTTTCTCCTCCTTTTCCATCCTACCTTCCTCCCTTCCTTCGTTTTCAACCCTTTAAAAAATTTGAAAACCATTCTTAACTCACAAGGCTGTACAAGGTTATTAAATTTAAATTTAGATACATTAAAATTTTACAGTTTGAGCATTCAGAAATTTGTGAGTGGGGTAACGTAAGACCACAAGCACTTCAGAAATGGTGCATAAGGGGAAATTTTTCATAAGGTGTTGGAGGAATTAAGGCAAGTGAAAATATTTGATTGGTTAAACTCCCCTAAGTTAAAGGAGAGTCGGTGGCTTCTAATTGGTGAAGCCTTTAGTTAAGAGATTAGTTGGCAGTTTATGATTGGTTAAGTTTAAGTTTCATTTTACTGTTTACATGGAGTTGGGTTTGAGTTTACTTACATAGGAACCCAAAGTACTGAAGCCAACACAGTCCAGTGGCCTCCAAAGTAATTATTTTAGCATAGACCTGTGTTTGGGCTCTGGGCCATAGTTTTCTGACCCCCCGCCCCCCCAGCGTTGAAAAATGGCCCTTCAATCTTTTGCTCATTGATTGGCGGTGA